AAATCAGCCCAAAGGTACACTTTTGAACTAGGTTAAGTTTGTCGGCCTGTTCATTCTGCACAAAACTGTTTTTTATTAAAGAAAAGCCACTTGCTGTTCTCTAAAGCTGTCTTTAACGACCTGTCACTTACATGTCATTAAGTTCAGCCAGTCTTCCCAGGAACTCCTCGTAAGTTAAGTAGCGACTGTCACGAAGCAATTCTAAACATTTCTCCAGCTTCTGACGGAGCTGGTTCATAACTCCCTGACCTGAGATCTGCTGACCCATCCCGGTGTTGTGTTAAAAGCACCAGTAACACTCGCAAACCAACAGAGGAAAAATATTTTTCTAAGTGGGGGATGAAGCTGGCGGTTGGGCTAGCAGTTTCCGGTTGCCTAGGTAACCCTCTAACGTATTTACCTGAGCCATTTGGTAAGCCAGTTATTTGGAGCACTTTAATGGTCACAGGTTAATAATAGCTATATTTGTAACTAGTAAAATCGTATAAAAAGCCAAAAATTTGTGACTTGCAGTGACTTACTGCAAAAACAGATTCATGCTGGTCTTTGAACAGTCATAGTAAAACAGCATAGGAGTGATCACACATGGCACACATAATGAACAAAGGTTACACAAAAGTCAGAGAGTGCCTTGACACAGGAATATCTGAATCATTACACTGTGGTGGTGAAGTGATTAGCACTGTTGCCTCAGAGCAATAAAGTTCCTGGTGCAAATCCTAGCTGTCACAACTGACTCATGAAAAATGCAAAATTCTTGAAAGATGGGTTGTAAAACAGCTAACCGATTATTTACAGAAACAATGTTAGTGGAGGTTACAAATGATCTTCTTATGGCCTCTGACAGTGGACTCATTTCTGTGCTTGTCCTGCCAGACCTCAGTAGAGCATTCGGTACTGTTAGCAATAGTTTATTACAGCAATTGGAACATGCTGTAGGTATTAAAGGTATTGCAATTTGAATTTTCAATAATCCTTGGCTTCACTGTGTCTTTACCTCCGTAAAAGCTATGATGGGGTATTGTTATCACTCTGCTGGGCGGTGGGCAAGCAGCTTGGACACCTTAGTTTGTGAGTTAGGTGTTCTCAATAACTCAAGAACGAGGCAATGTAGGAGCTTCAAATTGATACCATAGGTGTAACTACAAAAAATCAGATGAGTTAGAATCTCAGTGACTTCGACCTCAAGGTCAAGGTCAAAGGTAAAGTTTTATGAAAATCTTATGAATATGATAACCTAAGAATAAGGTGATGTAGGAGCTTCAAATTGACACCACGGGTGCAACAACTAAAAATATTCGATGAATTTGAATCTCAGTGACCTCGACCTCAAAGTCAGAGAATCTTGTGAATGCAGTAACTTGAGAACAAGGCAAAGTAGTCTAATAGGAGGCTGAGGTGTAGCACTGGCAGTTGCCAGTTTCCTTTACCATTTTTTGTCTCTATCCATCTTCTTCGGGTTATCCAGGGCCAGCTAGCAGGGGCAGCAGCCTAAGCAAAGAAGGCCAGACCTCCCTCTCCCTGGCCACCTCCAGCTTATCAGGAGGGACACCAAGGTGTTCCCAGTCCAGCCGAAAGATATAATCTCTCCAGCATGTCCTGGGTGTGCCCCGGGGCCTCCTCCTGGTGGGACATGCCTGGAAACCGTCCAGAAGGCATCCTTATCAGATGCCCGAACCACCTCAACTGGCTCCTTTCGATGTGGAGGAGCAGCGGCTCTACTCTGAGCCCCTCCTGGATGGCTGAACTTCTCACCCTATCTTTAAGGGAGAGGCCAGCCCCCCTTCGTAGGAACCCCATTGCCACCGCTTCTATCCGCAATCTCATTCTTTCGATCACTACCCACACCTCATGACCACAGGTGAGGGTAGGAACGTAGATCGACCGGTAAATTGAGAGCTTTGCTTTTACATTCAGCTCTCTTTTCACCACAGTGGACCAGTACAATGTCTACATCACTGCAGGTGCAGCACCAATCCGTCTGTCGATCTCCTGTTCCCTTCTCCTGTCACTTGTGAACAAGGCCCTGAGATACTTAAACTACTCCACTTGGGGCAGGAACTTGTTCCTGACCCAGAGTGGGTACTCCACCCTATTCCGGCTGAGGACTATGGCCTCCGATTTGAAGGTGCCGATCCTCATTCCCACTGCTTCACACTCGGCTGCAAACCGTTCCGGTGCAAGCTGGAGGCCATCACCTGATGAAGCCAACAGAACCACATCACCACAGCCTTCCACCGCTTGGCTACGCCTAGAAATTCTGTATATAAAAATTATGAACAGGATCGGTCACAAAGGGCAGCTCTGGTAGAGTGCTTCACCCACCGGGAATAAGTTCGACTTATTGCCGGCTATGCAGACCAAGCTCTTGTAACGGTTATATAAGGCTCAAATGGCCCATAACAATGGGCCAGACACCGCACTCCGAAAGCACCTCCCACAGGACACTCCGAGGGACACGGTCGAATGCCTTCTCCAGGTCCACAAAACACATATAGACTGGTTGGGCAAACTCACACGCACCCTCAAGTATCCTTGAGAGGATAAAGAGCTGGTCCAATGTTCCACGATCAGGACGAAAACAGCATTGTTCCTCCTGTATCCGACTAACGGACGAACTCTCCTTTCCAGCACCCTGGCATAGACTTTCCCAGGGAGCCTGAGGAGTGTGATGCCCCTATAGTTGGAACGCACCCTGTGGTCCGGTAAACATGGGAACCACCATCCTGGTCTTCCAATCCAAAGGTACCTGATCTCCATGCAACATTGCAGAGGCATGTCAACCAAGACAGTCCAACGACATCCAGAGTCTTCAGGAACTCAGGGCGGACCTCATCCACCCGAGGTGCTCTGCCAGGCTCTGGGTCTGGAATTGTTTAACTGCCTCAAGTGAGAGGCCTGACCAGGGGACAAGGGCCCGGACAACATATCTCCTGGGACACACAAACCACTCCACCACGATAAGGTAGCAATTCGCAGAGGGGTATGGTTAACATGTAAACCACATGAACAACTAGGTTTCACTCTTTTTTTATTTTAAAATTAAATGTCCCACACCGCCATTGAGTTTACATGTTCAAACCTGTAAAACAATGCCAATGTTAGCCATGTAAAACTCATAAGATTAAGCATTTATGATTTTTTCCTTTACATCTTAACACCAGTCTGATACAGTAGGTTACATCACTTAGGCTTTTATTGCCAAAGAAAATCTTGTTTCCAAACAGAATAAGCTGTATAAAAATGTAGCTGAGTATCTGTTTATTAAGGATAATACAGTAAGAATGGTTCTGTTATTACACTTCCCTTCATTCACTATAACAAATACAATGTCTGTACTATGCCAGGACCCCAGAAGGAATACAGGATAATGCTACCATCTTACGGTTGCAACATCACATTACACAGCAGTTTATGTTTTTAGGGCATGTTTAAAAATATGCCCTAAAAACATAAACTTTATAATGTAAATATTAAAAACTTTCTTTGACATTTTTCTGAATGGACCATGCAGTCATGCACCAAGATCAGACACAGTTTGCTAAAGAGCTTGTAAAAGACTTCTCTTACTGCTGCACATCTCTGGGGTGTGTATATTTCAGCTTGAATGAAAGGATTAAAGCGCTATAATAACATTTATGAAGGCAAATATAATCATCTCCATCAACTATACACAAACACCCAGAGAAGTGAGGTGTCAAAATGTCATTTGATAGATAAACAAAATGAACAGAACTGAAATATTACTGATATTTCAAAACTATAGACTCATATATGGAATAAATTGCTAAAATAAATGTGAAAAAATGCTAAACTGAAGAATTCACTGAACTTCATACAACAAAGATCTAAATAAGCCATTTCTTTAATACAACTTTAAATGAAGAATTGGATTTGAGTAAAACAGAAATGAAATCTATAAGGTTCATACATATTCACATTTAATAAAAATATTTCCGGAAGAATCAACTTCGAGTGTCACAGCTATGTCAACTTAAACTGAAAGTGCCACTAGGGATCGGTTAGACCCAAAAAAACAAAACACAATTTCAGTGATTTACTTAACTGTTCCCCTACAAGCTGCCCCTCTCTCAGTCATTAAGTTGCTTTTAATTACAGTCACGTCGAAGCACAGAGTGCAGTTTTGGGAGTGCAAACTAAAAGATTTCTACAGAATTCATAATAAAATAGTGTAAATAAAGATGAGGGAAAAATAATTAGAAATAAATTCATAAAAGTAAAAAGAGGAGAACAACTTATGTGACAGGCAAGGTGATTTAAAACAGTTAAGACACCACAACGAGCCAAGTCCTTAAAATCACATGAGACTATTCAGTCCTGTGTCCTGAACTGCACCAGAACAGGATTTTAGCATA